CGAATCTTATATCCGGAAAAAAACTCCTGTGTGGTCATGTATGTCTGTGATATATGCTTCAGTTTTGGACCGTTCTAATTTTTGTTGTGCATGCATTCGCAAAGGATTCCTACGAAAATATTTGTATGTCTCCATATGTGAAAAATAGTCAGCGTGTATATGCAGAAATTTCCATCTGTGTACTTGCGAATATAATTTTCTTTCTGACGCGTTCACACGCATGCCATGTCAAAACGATACATGCATGTACACATACCAATGATTTGTGTCTACACGTGTTTTTTAATCTGTCGTGTTACTATTGACTACTACCTTGCGTGATAAAATATGGTTGACTGCCGGTTTTTATGACATAGATAGGTTAACTTGTCAATTTTGAATCAATCAATGTTCTTACTTTGTGTATGTTGTATAAATGTTATTGTTGTTAATCCGAAAAAAGCATCGACTATGTGCTTTTCATCATGTGAAGTTGTTGATAGATAGTCGTCACAAAATCCATATCCAGCTGCTTCATAAGATGTTAATTTTCGATTAAATACGATCGGATGCAAGTCTTCTTGGACGCCTAATATAATAAAGAATCGTCGCCATTCGATTAGATCTTCGTTTTCTTTTCTGCCATTATGACTTGTGACATAGTCGAAGGATAAAAATTTATCTTCTTTTGTTTTTAAATATTCTTCAAGTTGTAATCGTGGTTTGTATTGATCACAAAAAAAACATTGTTCAGCTGATATTAAAGTTCCACGTGTTGTTAACAATTTTTATTTTTTTAATTGATCAAGTTCCTTTTTAGTAATAGCATTCTTTTGAAATAACATAAATAACATTTTTATTGTTCTTACCGCATTTTCAAGTGTAATATAAGAAGCCACATTCGGAATAATTGTTTTACGTAAATATGTTAAATCGGTTCGTTCATCAACACCCATATCTTTCAACCATTTTTTTATTTCTTTTTGGGTTTTTTCATTTAACCAAGCGAATACTGTTTTATTTACAAATAAATATTCAGAATCGATTGTTCCATTATCACCAATTGTGTCAGCTGGAAAATAAATATCTTTGATTCGTTGTAAACGATTGTTTTGATCCATGAGAAATGGAATTTGTTGAATACCAATATCCATACCATCATCTGTATCGATCTTAGAATA